CTCCTTTCCCCAGTAGTGAAGACGCTTGAGGCTTTGCTACTTCCCAATACTTGATGTGTCCACTTACCTTAACGAGGGTTCAACATGGCTTACGTAAAGTGCACAGTATCATCACATCAATTAACTCTTTAAACACGCAGGTGGCTCAAGGATTAACCATAGACGCCCCTGCGGGTGCAAAGGCCTTTTCAAAGGCGTCTGACCTGCTAGAGGATGTTGAGGTGTACTCTTTCCAACAGCGACTATAACGACAGTCGGCGAATCATCTGAGTAGTTAACTGTCGTCAGTAATTTTTCGACATCAAGCCGCGAAGCTTAGTAAAATTAAACAAGGAACCCCACAGGGTCGTGTTCTATCCCCGATATTATTTAACTTCTATATCTAGAAGCTTCTTCAGCCACCAGAGGGAGTTTCCCTGATCTGCTACGTTGACGATATTGGTGTTCAGCAATGGATTGTTGACCTATCATTGAAGGTAAACGGCTACCTCGCTGATTTTTCTCGCTTCTTAACTGCAAGAAGCCTAAGCCTCTCATCGATGAACCCATTTTAGCACCTGGACTAAGGATTTCTGTTTCGAAAATTGTAATGATTTTTTGTATAAAGTACAGTTTTCTGGCATATTTTGTGGGTAAATTACAGTAGTTTTTAGGAATATCAGTACAGTCATACACGCAGGTGTCTCTGCACTTTGAAATATTCTAACTACTGGAATGGTTGGCCTACTGTCTTTAGCCTCACTCGCGCAAGAACTAGATACTCGCCGAACCTTACCGAATGCACACTCACGGAGTAGTTTACTGTGCAGACAGCTATGAGTTTATATGGATTTTGCTGACTCGTTCTATCAGAGTCCTGGTTGTAAGTGGCTCGTAGGTATGTCTGATCTGTATGGTAATTCTGTACGATCATGTTTAGCTACGTAATTGCTAAGCTCTAAGCGAGAATCTCATATCCACCGCATGGGTTACACTTGTCTATGCTATATGTCTCTATGCCCTCCATATTAAGGAGCTGATCATAACCCATCTGTTTAACCCTGAGTCATAGAACCCTCGAATATAGACTGCATAACCGTACTTCCTTCGGGAGCCTAAACTGGGATGAACTACTCTTCTCTCTTACGAACCATAACTAGCTGCAGCAATAAACCTTACCTCTGTAAATATCTCAATGTAGAAAATCTGCAGTAATAGTATTAAAGGCACCCTCAAGGCACATACATATAAAGGGCGAGCTCTAAATCCAGCGAACCACTTTGTGTGGAGCAGTCTTTGCTGACTTTCCTTTTAAGTAGGCATGCATATCTAAGACCCTCTGAAACGATTTGTGTGCTCTAAATTTCTAACAAATATCAATTCGAGGAGACCTTGCTGGTTGAGTCTACATCCGGCGCATCAGTCTAGCAAGCGGTCAATCTTTCATCCGAGAAATCTTTCATCATAAGAAAAGTGGGTGAATTATTATTTTTTTTTCTGAAAATAACTACAAAAAGCAGAAAAAGCTATCGAAGCAGAAAAAAAAATTGTTGAGCAATTTTTTAGTAAAAACATATTAACGAAATTTAATTTAAAAAAATAGCTTTTTCTTTATATTTTCATTACGAAAACTCAGTTTTCACACCGACTTAATTGTAGGGTAACGGTCTCCAAAGAGTTTACTGCTAAAAATAAGAAAAAAATTACTAATATTTCCATCGTGCATCACTTTCCGATTTCTATCTGCAGTATTCATTCGAAATTGAATAGCAGCTATAAAGAATTCTCTCGGATTCATTTACAAAAGTTACAAAATTCAATACATATTAGCAAATTATTCAAATGTTGGCGGCAGTTATGTGTTCGTCCACCCATATTCTAAAAAAAAAAATCGATGATGCATGCAGGCAGTCAGCTGTAGCAGTTTTGCTGTTCTTCAGTCGTAAAGTTGCACATAGACACCGTCGGCATCGACTTTCGACGATAAACTTTCCATGTGTTGCTAACAGCCAAACTTTGACTGCAAAGAACCAGTGCACGTGTCTTAGCTGCAATGTGTTGGTGATGCTTATGCCGGCATCGGAATCGCCAAATGTTTGCAAATGCTATCCAAGTGCTGATATGCACGGACCATAGACACCTCGTCCTTCTCTTTTGATGAAACATGGCTGCAAATAAGCGAGCTGTGGTAGAATCTCGATTTTAGCGAATCCTGGGGAAATTTTTTTCACCGGAATGAACGACAGTACTCGCTGTAGGGGTCCCTCTTCCACCAAAAAAACCCGATGCTGATGCTGCATTTAGACTTCAGTAAGCCCTCGAATCGGAGCAGGAGTAGTACCATGAAAGCTGCCTTTAATTCTGCCGTAACCCAAGGCTTCAGTATGTGTAAACTCTAATTTCTCAGGTCCAGCCAGTCATATCGTAAACATTTCTGTCGAGAGAATGTGTTGCTAAAGCTGGTGCATCTATCAAACAGCAACTAATACTAGATCTTCGACTAAACACTTAACACTTCAGCAACAGCATAAATATTAATATTTAATTTTTAAGCTACCAACCTTTAATGGAAACCTGTCACTACTGATGCACCCCACTAATTGGCATCACTGCCTTCGAAACTTGCATTCAATCTAAGCGCCACGCACATACCTGCCCAGCTGTGTGCATATTTTGACAGACTATTTGCCAAACAATCAGCGGGAGGTGTGTCGAGCCAATGCGAAAGTTTACAGCGAATACTCGCAGCTTAATCAACTGTTTAGGATTCACACGTCACTGGCTACGCACGCACGCATCACTCAATCAAGTTGGCAAGCAAGCAGACAAATGTTGTGTTTGGCAGGGCGAGTGCAATTGCAACAAATCTAGCAGTGTTAACAAAAAATAAACAAACAAATATTTACAAATAAAAATAAAAAATCGGAAGACAACCGACAGCGAAGAGAGATTAAAGGTTAATTAATTTGAAATAACCAAGTGCAGGCGGAGCAGCGTGAATGCCAGTGTTAATAGTTGTGTTTAGGCAGATGATTAATTGCAAAAATTGCGCAGAGAAATTAATGTTGTTTTTGGTGCACACAAAAAAAAAACTATTAAAATCAACGTAAAAAGCAAAGAAAAGTTGAGGAAATTTTTATTAAAAAAAATAATAATAAAATTATCGCATTGTTTTGTGCACTATAAAATCGCCTTATTCGCAATACAAAATGGTTAAAGTCGTACGTATAATTATATAACGCATATTTGCCCTAAGCTATGAAACTGAAGCAAAAATTAAAACAAAAAAGTGCAAAAATTTTGAAGAAAAAAATCGCCAACCTGCAAACGTGAGCAGCTTTCTTGGCGCCAGGAACAGTCAAATCGGCTGCCCTCCTGCGAGCACAGCAGGTAAGTACTATGTAGTCGTATGTATGTATGTATGTATGTATGTAGGTGCAACATGATCGGGAGTAGCGAGCGATTTCTCTATGCTTTTGTTTTGTACACAATATGATTATTATGAAGTGCAAAAACAAAGCAAGTTAAGCGAAGTGAAGTGATTGGCGATTTGTGATAAACTTCTGACATGATGTTGCAACATCGATATTGCATGTTGCATACATATTATTACGTGTACGCGAATTTCACGGACAATCTCAGCTGTAAATGGTGGCAGTGAAAATTTTACTTTTACTTTGAATAAAGCGAAGTCAAAAATGAAAACATTGACAAAAATATGAAGTTATCTCTATTTTATACATACATACTACGTACATATGTACATTAGACTGCAACAATCTCCATACAAAAAAAAAAAAACAAATCGGTACTCTGTTTCCATTGGAATTATGAAATCTATTATATTTTAAGACTTCCACCAAAATATTTTGGACAAATATTAAGATTTACGTGAGCTGGACCGATTTGAAAATACCTCCAAAAATGGAGTTTTTAAGAATAAAAATAGTTTCTTAAAGATTTTTTTGCAAAAAAAAAAACTTCCCTCAAACGAAAAAATGATTTAAGTTAAAAAAATTTGCATAAAAATATTTAAAATTATTAAAATTATTAATTTTCTACGGAATCGTAATAATGAGATTTTTGATGCTGTTTTTTATTTTTTTTAAAGAACCCGTTGAAAACATTTTTAAATGTTTTTATGCAGATTTTTTGAGCTTAATCTGTTTTGTCATCCGAGGAGATTTTTTTCAAACTATTTTTATTCATAAAAATTTCCAATTTTGGAGGTACATATTTTCAAATCGGTCCAGCTCACGTAAATCTTAATATTTTTCCGAAATATTTTGGAGGACGTCTTCAAATATAAAAAATTTTGTAATCCCGGCGGGAAAACTGCAACTTTTTTTGTTTATGCAGTCTAATGTACCTACATATATCGTAGACTGTTTTTTACAATTTTTTAGCAAAGTAAAAAATTTAGAAAATATTTGCTTAGTAATCATTAATTAAATACATCAAAAACCATTTTATGCCTTGTGATACTAGAAAGCACTCATAGAATTAACAAAAAAATTGTTAAATAGCATTTATTAAAAAGCGTCAAAGTCCAACTTTTCTAATCTCGTTATTACAGTGGACGAAAAAATTATAGCCGCACCACAGATTGATAAGTTTTAACTTTTATTTTTTTGTTTAATTTTTCTTATTTTTTTTAATATAGTTCATTTTTCAACAAAGACCAAGTATCAGGTTTTATACTATATTAAAAAAATGACTCAACAAACTTTCAAAATGCTCAGCTTTTACGTCGTCACTTGAGAGACTCTAGGTCTCAAAATTGTAACGTGAGTAACTATATATTTTACTTATTTTTTATTTTAATTCAGTAGTTTAAATACGAAAATTGGGCATATTAAATAAACCTAAATTAGTAGTAAATATATAAAGATCTCTTGACCTTTTCTGAAAATATTAAATCCAAAGCTAAATGTGCGTTTGACTCATAAAATTTTGTCTCCATGAAATTTGCATTATTTAAAAATATTCACAAAGTTATTTTAGTTTTATAACTTTTCATCTTAAAACGAAAAATTTTTCATTGCCAACCGCTTAATACATTTTTGCGTTGGCCGTATCATCATTTGCGCAAACTTCAAGGACTCATTCCTTTTTATGCCGATCCAAGTAACGCTTTGGCCGTTGTCTTTTTGAGAATAGTCGCCATTCAAATTGCTGAGAAAAACGGTATTTAAAATAGGTATGTATGTAAATCTATGCATAAGTAAGCAAAATATAGTTCAATTCACCTCCAATAACAATTGTGATACCACCAGGCTCCTCTGCAAGATTCAGCACAATTTATATCAGGGCTTGCATCGTTATCTCGATCGAATGTTGTGAATTTTTTACCCTCGTGAGGCTTGAAATAATCTTTAGCATTCCCTTTGTAAGCACCAACGGTTCGCAAAACATAATCTTCCTCTTCGCTACCAATGACGAATAAATCATATTTTGCATAGTACTTTGTGCCATTGGACGCTTCCATTTTTATATACAACTCTTGTTCACAACTTGCGGTTAGAGCGTGCAATTTATCCAAACCAATCCAATAATTGCCCGATAATTCACCAAAGCCTTGCTTATATTGTTGCCAATCTCGATAGAAATCCACTTCCGCACTTAGGCGTCGCTGAATGACAATCCAACCGCCAAAGTCCGTTTCCTCATCACACCATACCATAAATGGCTCATCCCCAAATCGCTGATATTTTATGGTATAGATGCCACTTTTACGCGAACCAGCGGCTGCCTCCATGCAATTGGTGGGTCGGCTTGGACTATTTTGCAAGGAAGAAGAATTTTAAAATTTGTAAATTTCCGAACTACAGTGTAGAGAATGGCATCACACAGCACATAACCTCTTTTTCTCAGCTTGCAGCTTCAAAATTTGTGCCTGGCTTTGCTTCACAAGTTGTTGCAGTGATTCCAATTGGGTGCTGAAGTG